ACATGCATTCAAGAAAGCTGAGACTCGGTCCTCCCAAGGACAAAACAGCCCCTGTGAACTCATTTTCAGCAAAGATTGTCTTTCATCCTAGAGTACCGCTTTTCAGCGTGGCCGGTCCACAGCATTTGTGGATCAGGGAACATTCTTGGTGATCTAGGAGACTGGCCCCAAATATAATTTATGCTAGTGATTTGTACACTTGTGGGCACGTGTGTGTGTGCATGTGCAGGCACATTCCTGCCAAACCTAAATAGACCTTTAAAAATACAGAAAGTAAGTCTGAAAATGTAGCCTAGGCAAATCCTTACTAAGTCAGTTTTCTAAGGTGGCATGTGTCCTTGTGTTATAAACATAGTGGTGGCCAGCAGAAGGGTGAACAAAGGGATCCTGAGCTTTTAGCTCTACTAGGCTAAAATGGAAGGCTCTTAGGCCTGGGGACTATGCCATATGCTGAAAGGATGGGTCAGGGAATCATGCTAATATTGGGAAGGAGCAAAAATGTTGACAGGATTTCAGTAATGTTAATATCCCACCAACCAATAAGAAATGGCTGGGTTATGGCAGAAAGGCAAGTTCAGGAATAAACAGTGAAATGAGGTGTGTGACATTTGCCAATTATCACAAGATGTTTTGGTAAGCATATCTGGGACTTACTGGTGTATGGGATTGCCAAGTGTTCAGCTTTACTCAAGTAAAGTGGTGTGGTTTTTACACCACTTTCATCTGGAATTTGGAATTAAGAAACAGGAAGGCACATCTTAAGAAGATTTAATTGTTGGCATGAGCATAAGAAACACATCAGAACTTTCTTTCACTCTCTTCCCATTGCTCTCAAACCTCTTTCCTCATTATTCTCGTTGATCTAGGTCATTTCATTTATTATTTTAGGTGCCTGGTACAGAGTAGTTTTTCAATTGCTATTTAACAAATGAATGAAGAAAATCATTCTAATTTTCAGAAGTATTCTGTGAAGCAGCCTGGTGAAAGGATATTAAATTAGGACTATGAGAGATCAAAAAGAAGGCAGTGGGAAGAGATTCTGCAGAGTGTAGATTCCTTTCCTTTCTGGTCTTCTGCCTCTGCTGTTTCATTTGGGACCCCCAAAACCAAGAGCCTCTAACCCATGAATGGATATTGGTGCAACATGACTGGGAATTATCCTGGCCCTGTAAGGCCCAAAGCTAGATTTACCAAGTCATTCTGTACCTCCCTGGAATAACAGGGGAGCTCTGAAGACTCACCATTACCTAGAAATTTCAGCATGATAATGTGCAGGAATCCCTAAATCCCTGGTCAATCCCAAGTGAACTTTCCAGACAGCAGAGTGGGGTGATTTGGAGCTTGGGTCTTGGACCTAATCTCAAGATTCATCAGCATTATAGAATTTGCAACTAGAAGGCATATGAGAGACCATGAAGATGGTTCCTAGTTTCACATATGAGTGAAGTAGGACTATATCAGCGCTAAGTTAGAAAAAAACATGAAGAAGGAAAGTCTTGGGTTTATACTTGTGTTTAAAGACACTCTGAGCACTGTTCATTCATTCAACTGAAATGTATTGAATGCCTTCCCTGTGCAGGCATGCTGCTAGGTGTCAGGTATACTAGGCAGAAGCATGGCCTTTGCCTTCAAGGAACTGATGTTTTTTGGCACTTCATGTTTCCAACACATTTAACCCTCACAGATGTACCATAAAGTAGGTATTACTATTTCCGTTTTACAGATGAGGAAGATGAGTCTTAGAAGGGTAAAATCCAAGATCTCATGAAATTCAGCACCTGCCTATCAGATTGTATTAGCTTTTTTCTTGTTGCATAACAAATTACCACAAACTTAGTGGCTTAAAAAAATACTCATTTATTATCTCACAGTCTCTATAGGTCAGAAATTTGGGAACAATTTATCTGGGCTCTCTGCTCAGGTCTCATGAGACTGAAATCAAGATGTCAGCCAGGACCGCAGTATCATATGAGGACTGGGGTCCTCTGCCAACTTCCCTGGTTGTTGGCAAAATGCCACATGTTTATGATTGTAGAACTGAAGTTCTGAGCTCCTAAAGGTTGCCCATCGTTCCTTGCTCTGTGGCTTTCCATGGCCAATGGGAGAGCGTCTGTGCTGCTCCAAATCTTTTCTTATTCATTGGAGTAAAATCCCATCAGACTCACAAGTCCTGCCCACATTCAAGGGGAGGGCATGCATACCAAGGGGCAGGAATCTTGGGAGATGTTTTAGGATTCTGCCTACCATGCAGATATCAGTACCCACATGTTCCTTAAATTACACACTTCCTCTCCAAAGTTATGGGCATTGGTTCTGGGTCTATGCAAGAGAAAAACAAAAACAAAAACAAAACTATATCATGTCAGTGCAATGAAAGAAGTATGTACAAAGTAGAAAAAAATGGTCTACTGTGCATAAGTGGTAGAGATGGAGAGGGAATGTTTATGGGGAGCTTCAAGAAGAAATGTCTCAATCGGAGGGTTGGTAAAAGAAACATGCCTTCTCAATTTTTGTCTTCACTGCCTCACATAGTCTTAAGGCACATAGTAGACCCTCGATTAATGTTTGTTGACATGAATGACCCTGTACTATAGGCATTTTCTAAGTGGTGGAGGGGAAAAAACATTCTAGGTAGAGGGAATTTCATGTACAGAGACCCAAAGATTTGAGCCACGTGCTATGTTCGAGGATCAGCAAGAAGGATCAGATTATTTAAACATGCAAGGCAAGACATGGCAAGAGAAAAGACAGACAATAGGGCCGGAATGCGGATGGGGGAAGAGGTAAATATAGTGCTAAAGTGGCAGGACTTAATTTTGTAAATGAAGGGGAACACCTGAAGAGTTTTAAGATAACAGATTTGTGTTTGAGAAAGTTAGCTCCAGTGGACAGTACAGTGTGATGGCTGGTTTGGTGTAAGGGTTAGGGTGGATGGGAGGGAGGCTAATGCAGGGCTGAAGCGGGGAGTGCCGGGTGGTCTTGTAGTGCAGAAGAGAGAGTAGGAAGATCTACACTAAGACAATGGCAGTGGGATGGAGAAGAGGAATGGTTTCTGAAGCTGAATGGGAAGCAGAGTTGGCAGAACAGAATGCCTGAATGGGCTCGAGGGATGAAGGAGTCATGGAGGATGACCCTGGCTTAGGAGATGGGTAAATGGTAGGTTCCTCAGTTAAACTTGTAGTCTAAGAGAAGGATAGATGTGAGAAAGAGGAGGAGAGAGTTGGCAGTTATGGCGGGAAGAAGGACCGCTGTGGATAACAAGTATACTTTGGTACATGTTGAGTTTGAGGTGCCTGTGGAATATCCCAACAGACAATTCAAGGGGAGGCAGTTGACTTCTTAGCTCTGGAGCTCACTGGGACTGGGTACACAATGGGGTCTCTAACTCCCAGGTGTGCAATCAAGTCATAGCAATGGATAGCCACAGAGGGATAGTGTATAGAGTAAAAAAATCGGGGAAGCTGAGAATAAAAGCCGAGTTGCCAAGTCCGCAATGGTGAGGGCAGAAAAAATGAGCTGGAATCAAAGGCAAGAGAAGAGAGGCTCTGAAGGGAGCTGCGAGTGTGGGGTACACAGTTACGGCAGAACGTACATGAGGAAGACATGAGGGGCCACTTCACTGGCAGGAGAAACCATGCCGTGAACATCTTCGTTGGTATTTCACTGGCTTGAGTCGTAAAAAATGCAGGGAGGACAAGACCCACCACACCGTGTGCAATTTAAACAAACATGAAACTGAGTAAATTAGCTAGTGGAGCAGATTGTCACAGATTTCTTTATTGCGTTAGGAAATACATGTTTTCACTGAGGTCTATTCTTTTGAAGAAAAAAACAACTTTGAGTTAAAATGTATTATTCTTTGATCTCTATAATTAAGAGATTTGACCCAAGCATTCATCAATCCTGAGTGAAAATCAGTGGCATTCCCATTACTTTCCATGGTTTGTTTTCCCATAACTTGAAGAACAAAAGAGTATCTTTCATAAGAACATGAGGGGTAAGCGGAATTTCACAAGAAGAGACTTCTGTGGAAAATCAAAATTTTGAAAGGGGACAGATCCACTTTCTACTCAGTATTTTGGTTTTTTTTTCTTTTTCTTTCTTTCTTTCGTTCGTTCGTTCGTTCGTTTAAAAGGGGACAGATCCACTTTCTACTCAGTATTTTGTTTTTTTTTTCTTTTTCTTTCTTTCTTTCTTTCGTTCGTTCGTTCTTTCATTCTTTCTTTTTTTTTTTTTGCCCATGCTGAAACTCCACCGAATAACCTGAACAAACGCTGGCAAATGCTCTGCCCCACCAGAGTCTGGATATATTTCCAACATATCCAAAGAAGGACAATATACTTAATTGAAAAAAATGTAAAGGCAAACTCAATCAAAGACATGTTGATTCATCACAAGCTCACAACTC